CCCCGCCCCGCCAAAAGGCGGGTTTTGGCGGGCTGCGGGCTGGCCCGCCCCGCCAGCCCGTTTTGACATCTCTACTTTTGATTACAACTTTTATGATATTATGGTGAAATAAACACTTTAGACGTTTTCAATTATTGTTGGATATTTTATCTTGTTGTGAGACTCCTACATTTATGATGGATTCATATGAAGTAATTTAAACATTAAGCTCTCAATTTACAAATAGGCACGATGACGATGGCGTCCAAAAAAAATTAATAAAATAAAATAAAATAAAACTTAAAACAATGTATGAAATAATTAAAACAAATCATCCAAATTCGTTTTCATAATGCAAAACTATTTCTAAAAGGAACACATTCAACAAAGCTAGAAAATAACACCACCATCAAAACAATCTACATACAATCATTTCAAACACTAACAATATTGCAACAAAATAATTTGCACCTCCGTTGTTCTCGAATACATCAAATTCATAAATAACAAGAAAACGATGGTAAATCAATCCTACATACATAGCAAGTAAAAAATATTGCGTACTGTACCATCCATTACATTTACACATTGGATGTTATTAATTTGTTTAAGGTTAAACCACATGTGCACTAGAAGTTTCCCACCATTCCGTGTCCGTCAACCAACCTAACCGCTGCGCATACCACTGCGACAAAATATTATAAGAACGACAAAACGTGTCAAAGTGAATAAAGGAAATTGTACAAATAGCCAACAATATTTAAAAAAATTTCAAACAATCAAAATGATAATTTAAATGTTCGTTAATTTTTACATCCATTAAGTACTTGATGTGGGCTGGCTTCGTGCACAGCCGATAGATCAGTAGTTTTTATTGTAATGACCGATAAAAATACATTAGAGAGAGACAAAAGTAAAATTTCATTGGCAACTTGCGTTTACCTAAAACTGTAAAACGTCGCCGTTTGGACACGTCTCGGTACTGGATAATGGTCGTTCCTCAAAAGTCATTACGTATAGGTATATTCCCTTCGAGTCTTCGACAACTTCGTCATCTCAGCTTGACTCACTCGCTTCACTTTTATCTCCACACATCTTCTACTTTTGATTATTTCTACTGAAAAAAGAGGTCTTTTTTAGGGTTTATCCTCAACTTCGTATAATCATGGATAAATTCGCTAGGCATAGAGGCGGGGATAGATATACCAACGGCGGCGAAGAGCCTCGCCATTATAATTCAAGCGGCAGGAAGTCTCGGGACGGCGGATCTCCGTTCCGCCACCACGGGCAGGATAGCTTCCGAAACGGAGGGGGACGCAGCAGTCCTCGTGACAGCCGTGATGGGTTCTCAGTCGGCGGGGGAGGCGGCCGGGCCGGTGACGGCGGTGGGAGGGAAAATCAGAGGGCCTTTGATAGTCCTCCTATGACCTACCCTCAACCGCTTGGTGGCGAAGGAGGCGTTGGAGGAGGGGGGTTGAGGCCGATTGGTGACGGAATTGTGGGGTTTCGGCCGGTAATTGGTGGACCAACTGGTGGCGGTGATGGAAGAGGGTTCCCACCCATGGGTAGTGGTGGCAGGGGAGGATTTCGTCCAATATCTGGTGGCAGAGGTGATGAATTTCAACGGATGGGTGGCGCGGGCATTGATGGTGGGGATTTCCAACCTCTTGATGGCCCTGGTGGTGATGGCAGAGGGTTTCGGCAGATGGGCGGTCCTGGCGGTGATGGTGGAGGGTTTCGAGGTGGCAGTAGTGACAGTGGAGGGTTTCGGCCTGTGGGTAGTGATGGTGGTAGATTTGGTTTGGATGAGTACCGCGAGCAGATGCCTCCTCTCACAGGCCAGAAGCGAGGGTACCCTTTTTCTGGAAGAGAGAGGTCTCCAGGTACCATGAGAAATCGTATTAGTAGCTCTAGCATGAAAAAGGGGTATATTTGTTTATTTTTGCATTGTTGTGCTCTGTTGATGATCAATGGTTCTTAATACTTTTTATTGTCCTAGACATGGCTTTTGTATATGCCTATATGGTATACCATGGTAACTTGCAGTATCTCTGTATACTATTGAATTTCGGTAAATATTGGATCTTTGGTTGGATGTTTGAATATCCATGGTTGTTGGTGCTACAATTAGCCTAAAAGATAATACTTGTTCCTCTTTTAATGCTTAGTAACTGGCACACGATGGTTCTTTTTTTTTTTTT